TCTGAAGTCAGTGTGGAGGTCTATAGCACTCAGGGTAATGAACAAGATTTTAATTTTTAACACTTGTGAAGTCAGTGCTTCTATATGAATCTGGCCCGCGCATCACCAAAAGCATTTCCAACAGTCTTTCGAGTTGATTTTTATAAACACCTGACTTCGCTCGATACTGAAGCTTAGACAGTAGGCCAGAAAGGACAAGCAACAAGTAACTCTGGCAGGCACCGAACCAAAAAATATCTATAGAGAAATGGAGATGAACTGGATACATACTGAGGAGACCATTAGATGACATCACAAGCTAGGCTGTCGCGTGGAACCATGGCGGGAAGCGACTGGTTGACTGAGCGTCCGAGAGTGACATGCAAGAAACCATGCAGAGAGGAAGGCTTATAGACAATCGTTGAGCCGGATGAAAATGATAATAGAAGACCAGGTGCAATGGCGATGTACCTCTGAAGTCCTATGTACCACTCGGAACTCAAGGGACGAATAATAATAATAATAATAATGACGATAATAAACACGTCAAACACCATAGAACCGGCCTATCAAGTCAAAATACAATAAATACAAAATACATTGTGTGTTATGTGGAAACTGTAATACTGAATAATGCTTACACATTCCGAAAAACAAACGGGTTTGAATCATATTGAGAACGCCAACAGACTAGGGTGCAGTTACACTCAACTAATAAGTTTTTCACAAACAGGAACGCTGTTTTTAAATGTTGATTGGCAACGATTTGAGCGGTTCGAAGTTAAATGACGAACTGACACTGATTTCAGTTCATGGTCTAATCACAAAAGTGCTTCTTCGAACCGCTGAAAGTGATTGTTAAATAATGGAAGTACCTCATTACGTCTGATTAACTTAAATTAATGTACCTAGAACGGAAATTTCATAGAATAACTCTGCTTTTTCATACGTTATTTTACTTTAAACATCTAAGGACACATTCATTTCTATACAATAAGGTGGTTTCCTACATCTATCATCTTACAACACTGGCAACAAGAAATGCATTAGAAAATACGTTTTTCATTGGAAAGTAACGCAGCTTTACTTTTTTTTTAAAGTGAGCGACGACTGCACAGTTCAACACTAGCTTGATGCTTAAACAAGAATATGAATCTTTCTAAATATAAAATCCCATTATTATCCTATACTTCCAACCTGTTCTTTTGATATTCACATTATCAGGCAAGCTCTAATCTGTAAAGAAGTCTTCTAATATGATCAGCAACCGCCATGTAACTCACCGTGCTCCATCCAAAAACCGAACAATCGCTAAAAGTCGACAGTCAGAAACTCTTCCAAGCCAGCTATTCCAAATTACATAGTTTTCGTCAACCAGTGTAGTCCACGGCTAAAAATAGAAAAGTTTAAAACTATAATAGTTAAACTAGCCCTAATTTTACAGTATTGCTATTCAATTATCACTTTCACTACGTAACAACAGATAGAAGAGTGAAAGGACTAATTCAAAAGAGAGAGTAAACTGACCGCTAGCAATACTTAATTTTGTATTTACATGAACAGATTGTAGGATTGATCATTTGTGATGACCAGTGACTTACAGTAAGAGCTATCGAGTGAGTTAATTGGGAATTTTGTCATGAGTAGCGACTGTGACCCTCTCTTGATCTAGGAGTAGATAAGAGTGTACAAATGAATATTATGCATTCGATGGGTCAAAAAAATATATCACAATCACATTCATGTACCTGACTTGTGTAATTTTAAGTTTGAATCTTACCAGTGTCTTCACGTAACAGGCTTAAAATGTTGGTACATACTACAGTGTTAAATGTTCACCTGTGAAAAATCAACTTCTGAGAAGTAAAAAATGAGCAAAATCACAAATTTCAATTAATATGTTGATAATTGATAAAAAGCACTGTCTTCCAGACAATCTTCCTACTATGATACTATTCGAGACAATAAATGTTTCAGTTAGCGTTGTTACATTGAATCTAACTATCACGTAAATTAGCAGCTAATACATTAGCAAAACTTCAGCAAATGGAAAAACTGCTCGCGATGTGATGAGGATGAGAAAGTTTTTATCTCAAAACCACGAGGTTGTGGTGATGCGAAGCAGGACTCTGTTGATCATACAATCTTAGTTGTTTTACAATTTGACTGGTAGTGATACATGACCATTACTTCAGAAAAACACCATTACTGCAACTAACAGAAAGAATATTCAATAGACACGTAGTTGGATACTCAAAGCTGTAGAAAGTCACGCCTTATAAACAAAAAATGTAATCAAATGTACAAAGATGAGATACAATTTACTTACATAGACACTTCTCAGGTGACTACAAGGAACATCAAAAATAGCCCTTTGGTAACCCAATATTTCAACATGAGCACTCAGGTAGACATTTGAAACAGTTCCGATTGTATCCGTTTCTAAATTTTGAACGACCTCTCCAGGCATATAACTTCTGTCAAGAAAATGAACTTGACTTAGTTTTAGACTGCTGGGTGCGAAGTTGGCATCTCCAAAATGTTTCCAGTTAATCTTAACCTAAAATTCACACAAAATATTACCATCTACTACTATATAAAATAAAAATACTATTTCCGTTTTTAACAAGTAAGATAATAATTGTTTTATTCAATAATAAAGACTTTGGCTACTTTATTTATTTATCTATTCGACAAGCAGTAGATTATTTCATAAAGTGACAATAACGTCAGCTTGGCCAAATAAGTGTAACTAGTGATTAAATGCGTGTGTCGGTGGCATAGCGGTTGGGACGCTCGCCGACCATGCACATGGTCTGGGGTTCGATCCCCGGCCAACGCACTCCTTTACCTCGCTGAGCCAGAAATAATGCTGGTAAATAGGAAAGGTTGGGCATGAGGCTAGCAACACTACTACAGAAACTTCAAGCCACTAACTTGAAGCCCTATGTTCCACTGGGGAACGTGAAGGAAAAAGTGATTGAATACGGAAAAATCAGACTGCTACTGTCTTTATTAACATTGTTTGTTTGTCGTTTATCCATTGTGAACTACTCAGAAGCTTAAGCATCTGATAATCCGCAAAAGAAAATTAAATTAGTTGAAATTATTCGCCAACGTCACCTGTAGCGACTGGGACGTTGCGCACGTCAATCCACTATATGCCCATAGAAACTACGCTGGTAAATGCGAAGAACGTGAACATGAAAACGTAGCACTAACGCGCCAGATTGTTGATCCAAGTCAGCTAAGCAAATGTAGGCGTACTGTTAGGGGACTGACATTAATTCTCTAACTCGTTTTCCTGTTCTACTTCAGCAATCTAATGTTCAGAAACTTGTACCACCACAAAGAACTGTCAGAATTAATGTTACTGATGCTTTGGGATACAGTGGTATTTACATAGGGGTTTAGTTACACTGTTAATTTGTTTTACTTTTATAATTCACCAGTCAGAATTTTGCTACATGGAGTCGTGGCAGTCCGATAAAAACAATAAACTTAACAGAGTCGATGATACTACAGCTTATTTCGGTTACGATGTATACCTACAAATGTCACATCAGAATTATGGAGCAGAGAAGTAGGATTATTAAAAACTGGAACTTTTTTCTGACCCAGAAACAAAAGGAAGGAGAAAACAGGAAATTCTAATGTCAGTAAAAAGTTTGAGCACTATGGAATAGATCAAATTAATTATAATTATATCTCAATGGTTTACATCCAACAGTTGGTGTGATCATGGGGCGTAATTTTTCTCGAATTGTTATCAAAAAGAAGAACTTATCAAGGTGTGTAAACTATTGAAATATAATTATAACTTATGCGAAATTCTAATGTCAAAAGACAAATGCCACCTACTCTTCTTGAGCCAAGAATAAACACCCCTGTGACCAAAATAAACAGAAATCTTGAATAAAAGTCCATTCTAAACAATGATGCTATAACAAGTATTAATGCTGCAAACCGAAAATTACGATAACTTCAGGGTTATTTAAATAAATCTCCGACTGTTTAAAAACAACATAATTGGTTAAGGTGATGCAACCTTTACCACAGTAATCGCTCATCTATGATTATATGAGTGGATCAAGTGTTGAACTTAGAACTCGATAGGACTAACTTTAGACAACTATTTTAAGCAAAAATACTAAGTTCTTTTAATTGCACTTAGTTTAGATTTGGAAAAAGGAATGTTGTCTGGAAACCACTTGCATTCCCATAAAGTTGGCGACGAGACTCAACTATTATGAGAGGGGTAAAGCTACAACCTGAATGCTCAAACCTCAAGACGTGGTGAGGTTTGAAAAAGGAGTACTGTGCCCAATTTAATGAGCCATAGCTCTAAATTTTCGTCATTCTCATGCAAATAGCTTTATCAGTGTTACTGAATCAGAATTTTCAAAACCTAAGCTCATACACAGTAACTTACTCGTAATTCTACAAATATCTTATGCATTGTGGGAACAATTGCATTACAATTACACTGACTCAACTATAGGGAATAGATACCATAATCACGATCTAACAGCGAAAACCAATCAATATTGGCCTTTTGAAATGCTTATGCTGTCAAAAAAACAATGCATATGAGAAAGCAGGGCTTATTTTGTTGTATTTTGGCAGTTTCCAGACGTATATTTACATTGGAGGGTAAGGGATGGAAATGACTGGCTGAAGGTCGATTGGATGTAGTAGCTATCATTTATAGTCACCCACAGTGAATACCAATAGCACTTGAGGCGCCCAGAAAATCCCAAAGGTATGTACGAGGTTCTGCTGGACACTTTGGTACACAGAAAAGGTTTACGCAAACTACAAACACGTTGTATTAAACAGAAATTGCTAGGATCATGTGAAATGAGTTTTTCTACCATAATGGAAACCAAAATACTAGAGGAAAACTACTCGGGAAGTTCGAAAACAATTTTCAACCAACATTTAAGTGTTAAAGCTTACGTCAATGGGCTTAGATAAATACAAGTCATTACAATTTATTGACTACTAGAGGCTCGGAAGACTAACGAAAGTTTACCATACACCCCGATCAATCGAACCGCATGTCCCCGAATAAACATCTGTTGCAATCTCAATTAGCGTTTTATGGTGGGCTGTAATAACTTGGTGATATGAGAGAAATATCATACGTTTGTGTGACGCCTGTACACGAGGAAGCCTACAATATTGTCATATTTTAATGAGCCAAAGAAACTCTCAAAGTCAGAATAACTCAGTGCAAAATATACTAAGATAACGAGGCAGGTAAGTGGACTGTTTGGGGGAAAATGCACCGGGTGTGATGAAACCAACTGTCACTGTGGAATTCCAGGACAACTATACAACATCATGCATACCATCAGACCAAAAGGAGCGTAGTGTAGAAATATAAATTTAAAAAGTATTCGATGGGCTACAAATATTACCATGCGATCTTTTTCATCTCTTTTTTTATATCCATTTTCCGTCTCACTGTGCTGTAAGCGGTCATCTGCCATCACAACAGAGCCAATAAACGCGCATTTGGAGTCATCATGTAAGTAATAAACAATATCATCTTTAAACACATCCTGATGGGACACCATATGTAAGATCACAACCCCTCGTGTTTAAAAAGTCGAATACTGCGCGTAGTTCAATACTGTCTCAGGTTGAAGGTCATGGTTGCCTTCAGTTATTTAAACCGAGAGGCTTCTGTTGCACAAAAGTCAGAAAAAAGTTGCTCAAACTGACTCATTTCCCTGGCCGTGAATGTTCAGGATCTGCTACTTACAGTTCGTTTGCTGAGTAAAGACCCATAAAATCTTAGAAATTTTTACATCCCTACAACACTTCAAAGTGAAGAAGTTTTGTTTGACGATTATCATTATGCTCCGGTATTCCATTTAAATAAGTTCCAGAACTTCATTTCCCTGTCAAAAAGTTAGGTTCACGATAAATTAGCTGATAACAAATTGAATAATAACTAGTTAAATAAATTTCAAGATGGCCCAACTGTCATTTACATGCTAACGTTTTCTTCCTTAAGGAAGCCACACAGTGTAAAGCGACTTCTCCAGTAGAAGAGAAGAACACCCGGAGAATCTGAAAAATGGTATAAAACACAATAAAGAATAAAATATCACCGAAAATACATTTTAAAAATGTAGACAAGAAGGGGTTGTAAAATGCTTGGAATGATAATGCACATTTGCAAAATATAATGCTAACCATATTACTGTTAGCATGGAAACTATGATGTTTTCGATGAAAACAGCTCTTTTTAAACAACATGTTATTGTGTGTTTTTTAAACAGCACAAGCAGACCTTAAAGGAACAAAGAATTCAAATGAAGAGTATGTTTTAGCTTCACTAAAGACCTAGGTTTTTAAGATAAAATAGAGTATAATAGTTCATGATAGCTTAGAAAGGAGTGGTTTCAAATATTAGGACTTTTTGAAGTTACTGACATGTAGGATGTTTCACGAACTTGTGTAGGGCCCATGGGGTAGCATCTAAACAAGAACCTGAGCAAACTTGTATGTGTTATGAGCAGAAGCACTTTTCTTTTATTATTTAGATCTAAATGAGCACAAGGCGGATTATGCATGCGTAATGCAAAGCTGTGTCAAAAAAAGTGTTGAAAACTATTTCTCTCCTACGTCATACTCTTCTGCAGTCGTGGTAACTATGTCTGAAACTGGTTAACTTTAATGGAGGTAATTAAAGAGAAAATATTATATTATTGTTACTCCCTTGGATCCCGAGTGGGATATAAGGCACAGCACATCTCCATTGTACCCCGTTCTCAGTGGTCCTATTTGGCCGGCCCTAACTGTTATTTATCCTTGAGCTTCTTCATATTATCGTCCGTCGCCCAACTCACTATCTTTCTCTCAGGTTCCACTCGTGCGTCTGACGCGTGACATCATTCAGTGGCTTCTTCAGCTTGTTACCAATCCATCTCCATTTCCTTCTACATATTTTTCGAGCGATAAGTTCTTGATTATTTTGTTTCCAAGGTTCCTTGCAGCTAAATCTTTCTGATCGCGTGATCTCCGATACGGAACGAAGGTGGCTGTTGGTAAAAGTTCGTGGCATCTTGAAAATACTGTTTGTTGCGTGCCCAGTTTCTGACCCATAAGGAAGGACCAACGGACTCAGTACTGGTGTTTTTCTTTATTAATTCTGATAACAGCGGACTTACAAACTGATTTCAGAGTGGTGAAAGTCTACCTTGTTTTTCTGATCTTGCCTTTGTCATCCTCATCAATGCCACCTGACTAAATTTGAAATGAAGGTGCCTTGATAATTGAAGTAAGAAACTTCCTCTACTTTCTCTGATTGACTAGGGTTGACGCTTATTGTTGTTGCTAATCAGGTACCTTCATCACCTTTGTCTTCTATGTTCACTTGAATTTCACATCTCCTATATCTGCTTCCAATTGTAAGTCTTCGAAATTATGCGATACTAGTCATAAATCGTCCGCGAAGTCCAGATCGGTCAGAATCTCCCTACCTACTCGCTCCACAGTCTCCGGCAAAATCCAGTCCACCGAAATTATGGGTATCACCGGCGATAGTGGGCAGCCTTGTTTTACTCCTGCATTCACTTCAAAGGCTTCGCCGGACAGGAGCGTGATTCTTTGAAGAATCCTAAATCACACGTCTTTGGAAGCAAACTTCCGGTAGATACAGTAGATACCTTTGCTTCCTCTCAAAACTTCCGCAATATTGAGGTGGGAATATCCTTTGGGGTCTCTGGACACGTTTTCACTACTTCAGGAAGAATTCTGTCCGGTCCTACTAGCTTCTCGATTGTGTTTTGGTACGTTTGCAGTATTCAAAGCTTTTGCTTTCATTACGGGATTGGTGTCATTTTGGCAGTTCATGACGTGATTTTTTAGTGTTTCTGGACTAGTTTTGGATCATAGTTAGCTTACAATCCTTAATACGTAATCAGCTCATTGTTTCACTTCCGTGGTAACTACGTTATGTTGATTATCTTTCATTGGTTTCTCAAGTTAGGCTGCGTGGACGACTTCAAGATCTCTTAAGTTTGACTTTCACCAGAAGTAAAGCTCAAGATTGCCGTGTACTAAAACATGCTCTGAAGATGTCCAGAAGGAGGGCAGAAAGCTTCGCAACTAAACCAACCAACTCAGGGGACGTAGGTGATTCAAAGACCATCTGTTTTGCCAGACATGAGCCTAGGCAACACTACCTGCCGGCTGTCCAGCCAGGCTCACCCAACGTGGTAAGCAAGCTGTTCTTTGTGCTGTCCCGACTGGTGAAGGAAGACTGTAACACTTACGACTGCATTAAGGTGAATTTATTTACGATGATGTAAACAGAGTATAGAGTTACACACATGACAACTCAGTCGCCGATCTCTTGTATCCCGAAAATCTGATTGCCTGAAATTTGTGTTGATCCTCATGGATGAACAAAATTATCGCTGCAGGTGAAACGGCTTAGGTTCAATCGATTTCACGAATTTCTTCATTCATCATGTATTACTTAGGTGGAGGTGACTGAAGTATGCCAAGCATTATGAAACGCGATTTATTCCATGCACAATGCTAGATCGAGTGCCTGACACTCTAGCTATTCCTTAGGATGCTACCGGTTGATCCGACTTAATATTTCCTGAGTGGCTTGAGAGTGAAATGGCAACAGATTTCATGCACTTGAGAAGAGCCCACGAAACAAAATAATAATACGTCACATACGGAGGGAAACTTGTTAATCTCTCCGTTTTTCTTTCTGTTACACAGAAATATTTGCTCTCTACTAGCTCATCAATTCGTTGGTAAGGATAAACGAGACCCTTCGAGACCGAGTTTCCCATCGCCTCCACTACTCAGCCGCCAGAATTAACTATCGCCGATTTGATAGGATGAGTGAAGTTACGGTGCGTAGGTGGATAATAATCGTAATAGAGACAGTAGTTTATTGACGTTAATTAGGTATCTGTGTGACGTATGTGATGTTTTTACAGGGACAAATATATCTTAGATAATTAGCCGATAACTACATACTTGTTTTATGATTTTAAGCACATTACTGGAGTGGAAAACTAGCTGGATTGATCCAGTAACGCGCATACAATATCAATAATTTTCAATAGACATGACATCAAATCTTACCGTAAGAATACTCTGAACAATAGTTTGTTAGTGGTTTGGGAAACTCAAATATTCAAAAAGGGTCAAATTTGACCAATGTTTCATAAAATTGTTTCACCAATGTATAAATTAGGAATGTAATGACAGAAGATAAGGGCCAGGCGACAGATCGCTTATTGAGAAAATCAACAGATATTTACATATTTTTATGTACATTATGACAGGTTAGCAGAGAAACAGCGTCTTCTGATTGGTTGTTCTCTCGCTGAAGGTTAATCTGTCATCTGTTTGTGGCTGTTTTTTGACGGTTATACCATATATGGCTGGACTTATCCGGCATGTTGGTTGAAATTTCGCTCGGTAAATATGTGAATCATATCCACCCACGCAAAGTTTTGTTCTTGTTTTTCTCATGACCGAGATTTGGGACGTAAACATTGACATAAACTGCTGTCTACCAGTTTTGGCTAGCAGACAGCTCTCACCACAGGAATTAATGGGCTACATCCAAATTACACGTAGAAGGGACCACTTGTCAGTTTTAACGCGGCATTTAAATGATTACATTATAATAAGTGACTGGTGGCATGAACTGGCTAACGCTAAAAAGAAACATGGAGTCAGCTGACTGCAGGTACATTACTAGTTTGAGAGCAACAAAACACCGAAGACTCTTGTCTTGGATCTGGCATCTATGAAGTTCAGCAAATACACAGTTGCTGACATCTACATTTTTTGGCAGATTTTTGTGTCAAGTATCGGTTCGACGAGCAGAATTTGTGACGATGACTTTTTGGTCCTCATAAAGCCCAAAAACTTCCTCCTGAATGACTGGGGAATATAGTATATAACACAATATGAACAGATTCCCCTAAGTGTTAAATTGTAAAACCTTCAATAGGGTCACCATCGAGGTTGAGCGAAAACTCAAACTTTGTTCCATTTCCGGGTCAACCGATAAAAACATACATTTGCGTGAGTGCCGTCTTCTCTCTCGTGATTGAACGCTATTTAAGGAAGAGAAGAAAGTCCTAGGCGGCTGCGAAATGGTATAAAATGCAATAATGGATAATACATTATTGGAAGTACATTTGCGGGATGAATACAAGAAGGAGCTACAGAGAGCTTGAAATGTTAGTACAAATTTGCAATGTATGATGCTAACAATATTGGTCTTACCATGAAAAATATGCCGTCTTCAATGCAAATATAGTTATTCTGAAACATTTCTGAAGCACTAGCTCCTCCCTCAGGATCACAGTGTCCAACAATCAATTATTTCGAAAAGCACTTAAAAGCCTTCGAACTTCTACTAGCACGGGACCGGATGGCCCTGCTTCAATAATTTTCAAAAACAGTGGGTGTGACAACCCTCTCCTAACTCTTAAGTTCTCAATATCTGTGGATATTGGCACTTACCGTTATGCGTAGAAAACTAGCTTTATAATTCCACACTACAAATCTGGTTATAGGGCGAACGTTCGCAATTACAGACATATAAATATAACCCCAGTTATCTCGCCATTCATGGGGAAAGTTGTTAGAGATC